GCAACCATTCTCCGGAGGGAGAGTCTGGGAGGGAAGACCCCCATTCTCTGCTTCTCACTGTTGAGTGTGATGGGTGCAATTATTTTGATGCTATGATTGTAGGGGTGGCAGCCCAGCACTGCACACCCAGCTATTTCAGCCCAGATACAATAATGGAAATCTTACGTCCTGCCTGCTGTTAAACTTGGGCTGTTGGCGAGAAAGGGCAAAAACATTCCTGTGAGCTTGCATCTTAGATGACTTTCTTGGGTTTTGAAAAGCATAATCAGACTTTATTTATTTCACTCCTACCCCAAATGAGGTAGCAGTCTCACACTGTAACAGCTGAGGAAAACCTGGAAGCAGGCATGGCCTTGTGCATATGCATACTCTTGGAAACGTGCTGTTCTCCAAGTTTTCCTTTGCTTTCTATCATACTTGACAGTGCTGAAGGTGACAACTGGAATAGAATCCTCTAGGAGCTCCGCTTTTCTTTGTGAGTTATTAGTAACTTGTTGCTATTTTCAGAAGTATTAATCCACCTATGAATATCATTCATAATTAAATACAAATTTCAATGAAAGGTTTTTTCTTTTTTTTCAAAGAAACTAAAGCATAGCATGTTCTGCTTTATAGAGCAGGAAGTTAATTTTCTTTTTGTCTTTACAAAATGAATACAAGGATACTGTCCAAAAAAAACATCTACATGCCAGGCCCATAATCCTAGTACACTCTAGGAGGCTGAGGCAGAGGATCACAAAGTTCAAGCCTAACCAGGGCAAATTAGTGACTTAACAAGCCCCTATTTCCAAATTAAAGAAGGGGTTGAGGATGTAGCTCATTGCAAAGGTCTTAGATTTAACACCCAGTACAGGGCTGGTGGGGGAGTCCCCACTCCTACAGACCTATATATTAACCATTAGAATTACACTCCCTGTCTTTCCAGTTCAGAGTGATGAAAGACAGAGAGACAGAGGACAGACTGGAGTGGGGAAAGGACTCTATTTGACTCACTGTTGACTTTTAACTTCCGTTGTGTAAACTTTTCTGAATCTGTTGATCTCCTTTATTCCCCGTGGATGACTATGGTGGATTTCTTGAGCAGGCTCATCGCTGACTCCTGCCTGCCTTTCGTCGTGCTTCCCTCCTCCTTTCTAACCGCTTCTCTACATTCACCTTAGAGAATTTTGTTTCCCAGCCACACTGAACTTGGGTTAGTTTGCTGAAGTCAGTGTAATCATTGCAGATGTTGTCCCCTCTGAACAAAAGGCCACCTCCTTTCTAATCAACTCTGGTATCATGCATGGCCTTTTCTCAGATGCCCTTTGGAAAACATTATTAAAATCCTCCAGGCTAGGTTTGAGTCTTCATTATGGTGTCCCCATTGTGTCTTGCGCTTCTATTGGAACTTAATATATATCTCTTACTTTATTTACATTGGTTTTTTGGAGACAGCCTTCTATATAGTTCAGGCTAGCCTTGAACTCACTATGTAGCCCAGGCTGATCTTGAACTCATAGCGATCCTCCTGCCTCAGCCTCTTGAGTGCTGGGGTTATAGGTGTGTGCCACCATGCGCAACTTCCGTATTTTCTAAGTGTGTTTAATTCCCTGTTTTTCTCACTTAGTAAGCTTTTGGAAGTTAGGAACTGTGTCTAGCTTGTTTCGGACTGTTGTATCATTCCTACAAGGCGTTTGGCGCATAGAAAATGCTCAGTGAACATCTGATAAGTTAGTAAGTTAGTAAAGCCAGAAACAGGTCAGGTTTTCTAAATATTTGTACAATATAACCTTGAGGCTAATAAAAGAGGATAAGGCATAGTAAGCCTCAGCTTTAGAACTTCATTCCAAATTTGTTGGAAAGCTAGAGGTATTGTAACAGTGATGACATATGCTCTGTCACAAGGGTTTGTTACCCGTGTGCTGTGCAGGATTAGGAAATGCATACTCAAATCTAGGGAGCCAACTAGGTAAGTTAGTCTGTTAAAGCTGTTTATTTTTACAAGTTCAAAATTTGCTCCGCATCTCTGGGGTGGGGCAGGGGCTGGGAGTTAACAGGTCTTGAATTGTTAAATCAGAAAAGATTTAAATATCTAATAGAGGAGGAGTGGGGGAATGTTTTCAAAGAGCAAAGGAAGCCGGGCATGCACTCCTATAATCCCAGCACTGGGAAGGCTGAGGCAGGAGGATCGTTGCAAGTTTAAGACCAGCCTGGACTGCAAAGTGAGCTCAAGGCCAGCCTGAACTGCACAGCAAGACTCTGTCTCAAAAAAAAAAAAAAAAGACACACACAAAAAAGGAGCAAGGGATGATTATACTGCAGGACTCTTAGAGGAGATGTAAAATGTTAACAAAAGCTCTCTATTCAAGTCTCCAATCACATGGGGTCCTGTTTTGCACGGCTCGTTCTTAGCTATGAAATTCTACAACTATGGTTCTTAGACTGGCATAGTCTGTATAGTTTGGGAAAAGATCTTGTATTTATAGATGATTTAAATAGAACATTAGATACATCATTTATTTAGGTGCTGGGCATTGAGCCCAGGGCCTCACACATGCTAGATAAGCACTTTCCCAGAGTTATATCCCCAGCTCAACAATGCAGTGGTTATCTCTTTGTTTTTTTCCTAATCTAGAGAGTTAGTTTTATAAGCTTTCTGATTAGAGTTATGCATCCTGAAAAGTACAGAAACAAGTCATCTACATCTCTAGGTTATGACTGTTTCCCGATTTGTAGAATTTTTATTAAAGAGCAGTGTTATTTCACTAGAGTTTTAAACACACACCACCACTACCACCAGGACACCCTAGATACGACATTAAGGAAGGTCAGAAATTCTTAGGACTGTTTTCAGTAGACTCTTTATTTGCTTTCTTCTGAAATCTTTTCCAGCTTTCGTGGCATGGAGGCAACATAGAATAGTGGGTGTGAATTTCAAGGGTTACAGCTGAGCTTACTTGTCAACAGAAGGTAGTCACTAGGCTAACCACAGCCTTAATCTTATTTCGTGCATCTTTGCCCTGAGGTAGAAATTTTCATTCATAATTTAGAGGAAATGAATAGTTACAGATTCAAACTTGCAAATATCTCAAAGGATGTCAAAGGATGAATTAAGAAACTTACTGGATGTTAGAAAACACTTTGTCTTATTGGCCAATTTTAGGTTATTGGTTGTAAAATTTTTCCAGGGCTTTCCAGAATTGAGTGCTACCTGAAATTGGGATTGGCAGTGAGTGCTTGCAGCCAGCTTTGTGTTCTCTAGCCAGGAAGCTCATCGTTTCTCAGAGCTGTTCTCTGATAGAGTTGGCAGGTCAGCTGTGCTTTGGAGGTATAAGAGGGCTAGGACACTGTCCTTGAAAGAGCCCTGCAGTAACTGAGCATCCTTCAGAGTAATCTCTTTCTGCAGCATTTTACTTGTGTTGCTCTTGACCTTGAAGTACTCTCTACACTGCACTACAACAAAGTGTTAGTTTTTAATTTATCTCTGCTCTGCCTGTCTAAGCCTCCCACTTACTTGTATGAACTGAAAATCAAGAAGACCAAAGGAGTGAGGGGGGTGGAATGATTGTGGAGTTACATCTGAAGTTCAGATTATTTACTTTCTACATTTTTTTTAGATGATCATGCCTATGAGAACTTCTGCTATCTTTTGTTTCTGCAGCTGTGAACTTTTCCCTGACGTTTTGGAACACAGTACTTTATATTCTATTATAGCTTTTTTTTCTATTGAAAAAGTTGAGCAGTTTGTTTACAGGAATCAGTACTGGGTCATTGGTATGAAAACAAAATTAATTTTATTTGAGAAAAAAAAATCAAAGAAGGACAACATGCTGTAGTGATGTGACCACAAACTAATCTAAATTGAAGATACTAAAATTGTTTTGAAAAATTCAGGTCTTTCTAAGATTTGTTTTCTTTTATGGTATTCCTAATTGGTGATACTGTTTTAAAGGAGCAATAAAACTTCTGTCTAAAAGTATGGTTATTAACTCCTTGGTATCATTTAAGATACGTTTTGCTGTATATAATAAAAAAAAAGTCAACATCCCACTATATACAGAACTAAAAGTAACGGTGACTTATATGACCTAGATGTTTATTTCTTGCTTAGACGAAAGCAGCCTAGAGAATCTGTTTCCACAGACACCTGGGCCGGCCCACCCTCTCTTCATTCCTTGACTGTCTGAGATGGATGCTGGAAACTCACAGTCACTGATAAATTCTGACTTGGTCATTTGGCTGCCAGGAGAGACACATACCTGAGCGGGTGACGTTAGAGCTCACACACGTGAATTATCTATCAAAGGCAGGTTAGCTACCACAGTTCTGAGGTAGACACACACCCCTGATATTTATAACCTGCCAGAAAGCAGCATTCGCTTAGCTTGTGTGATGTCAGTTAGAAACCAGTGTAAGTCATTTGATGAGAAGATCAACCCCATTTCTCCAGCCCTGAATTACATCCTTCAAAGCTCAGATCTATTGCTGGATCCTGTTTTTTATTTTCTAATAAAACTTAACCAGTCACAAGTTAATCTTTGATCTCTCAGTGTGCCTTTCTCTTTATCATTATCACATCCACTTTTCCAACCAGTAAGAAGATGAAAGAGTCAATAAAGATTGCCTTTCACTTTTAAGAAACTGCCGTGATACGGCTCAGTGCTTCCGTGTACATCTATTGTATTAGCCAAAGCTTAGCTATGTGGTCAGGTGTGGTTTCAAGAAACTCTGGGGAAATAGTCTTTTTGGATGGAACAAAATAGACTTAGCCAAAAACAAACAGAAAACGGTTTTTTGTTAGTAAAGGATGATGAATAACAGATTTTGAAACAACTCAGAAAAAATGGTATATGATCTCATCCAGGTTCTCAAAGATTATAAAAATAAGGTACCACTGTATCATAACTGATTGCATCCTCCCTCTCTCCCAACCCCCACTTCCTGCCTTCCTTGGGGCTTTATTGCCCTCCACCCCTTGTTTCCAAAAGCAAGACTAACCATTCTGTCTTTTCTTCTTTTAGGACTTTCCGTGACATCTCTGAAGATATGAAATCTTCTGTAGACTGACAAGGTTTCCCTGTGGTGGTTTCTCTAGGAAGTTCTGCCTTGGCAGCGAGCTCAGCTCAGCTGGGGCCTTCTGACCTTGCAGCTGTGCCTGGCAGGCAAAGCGGGGAAGAAAGAGAAGCTCCTGGCCTTACCTACAGAACCCTTGACAAGAGACAACTTGCCGTGGGCTCTTGGTATTTTAAAACACAGCTTGAGAGTTGAGACATCTGTTCGCTCACTTAACTATTGCTAAGATGGCTTGAAAAGTTTTCAGTTTATACACTGGCACCATGGCTTGACATTTTGCCACTTTATATCTGTTATTATGATATGTATTTATAGTTATTTTAAGAACTCTAAACTACCTGCTGTTCAAAGAATATACAGGGGCCAGGGATGTAGGTCAGCGGCATAGCACCTGCGTGGCAAGCACAGGGTCCTAAGATCAATTCCTGGTACGCCCCCACCCCCCGCCTCCCAAAAAAACAACAAAGAATATACAATATAATTTTCATTGCTTTCTGAAATCTATTTGTAGCCTTTTCTATGACACTTTTCAACAAAGAATATGTAGTTATGTGAGCAGGAAAAGTAACCTCTACCGTTCCGGTACAGTGTGCCATCTCCTCTTTGACAAAGTGAACAGACATTAAGTATAAGAGTGGTGTGACTTATTTGACTTTTAGCTATATATTGCAGCCAGGAGACACAGAAAGGCTGAAGCTTCCCCTCCGTCTCCTCTGTGCCTCATTATAGTATTACCAGAACAGGAAAACTTGGCTGACCACATTACAGTACAGTGCTGTAGCTGCTACAGATGGTAACAGTATGATATAATCCATGCTCTCATTACATTTTTTCTTTTAAATATTTTAGATAGAAAAAAAATCTCAGGTATAGTGGTACTCTGGTTTGTTAGATTGATCCCATAGTATCTTGTGTGTTCTGACACTTTGCGCAGTGCCTTGCACGGAGGACTCTAGATGAATGCTTGCTGAGTTGAATTGTAACTTTTAAAATATCTCATAGTACAGTAACCACAACGCTTTACATTTTATACAGTCCTTTTGTGCTTATTAGTTCATGACCTCCTCACGTCCACTTTCATGTAGCTTTCTGTTACTTTACTAAGTTTCACACTGACCACAGACCCTAGTGTTCAACAGGTGATGACTTAAGAGTCACACATTTAGTGAGATTTGGAAGCTCTGATATGCTATAGAAAATTTCTTCTAAGATTTTAGGCAGTTTCTCCTACACTGTGAGCTGGAATAGGTGTTGCTTTCTATTTGTAATGAATGAACACTGACTGAACAGTTAATAATAGTATTGAGACTCGAACCCAGCTCTTACTTTTGTGTCCTTTCCACTGTTTAAAACAGTCAGCAGGTCCTTCCCATGTTCTCGAGGAACTATAGAGTAGAAACTGTGCTTTTTGGAGAACTTTTTTTTTTTTTAGAACATTTAAAAGTAGAAATAGCAGGATGTGGTGATGTTTGTCCATAGTCCCAGCACTTGGGAAGCTGAGGCAGGAGGATTGTGGTGAGGGTGAAGCCAGCCTGGGCTACATAATGAATTCAAGGCTGAATGATACGGGGAGACCCTATTTCCAAAATAATAAAAAATAAAAAGGCAAGAATAAATAAAAGTGGAAGTAATTTTTTCTAAACAATCTCACTAAAAAGTTAACGATACTTAACTTAGAAGCTTAAATTTATTGTTATGCTACTTAAGAAAAACCCTGGCTAGAAAAGGCTACATGATGTCTTTTGACTGTTACAGTATATTATTTAAATTTCTTATTCATATGAGTCCTTCCACATTTATAATCTGTTACTTTGCCCGTATTAATTTGACCATTAAGTAATTTATTCTTCTCTTCAGTGTTATTTGGTGATGAGTTCATTCATTAACACATTTCTTGAGAGTTTGCTAAACTCCAGGCTCTAAGCCAAGAACTGTACAGGGTGCTGTAAGAGATAACACCTAAGGCCTCTCTCACCTGAAATCTTAGTCAGATCATGTGTAATACTAAATTAGAATATTTTGAATTAAAAGGATTAAAACAAGAAATTAGGTTTTTGTTAACTATATATTGGTACATTTATAGCTGTAATTAGCACATATAAGGAAAATATTTTATACAATGAATTAGTGTACATATACAAATTGTGTTCCTCCAGAGTGCTTTTAACTATGTAAAGTAAAATTGCAATAAACTAAACTTGAGCTAATACATGGCTGTTGCTGGCAGAAGTATGAATACCAGGTTGTTAGAGGGGAACTCTAAGCCCTGAGAGGATAGCTTAGAGCTGCCTAAATTAGCAGCGGTGATGTGATACCACCCCAGCATAGCAGGAGCAGAGGTGCCCCACAGTACACTGTTCTGATCAGGAAACTTGAAGTGTTCATTGCTTCAGTGACAGCCTAAAGACTAGGACCCTAAGGACCAGTCTACCAGCCGGGGAGGCCAAAACCAGAGAGACGCACCCTGGCATGTGTCTGCAGGTGCAGAACGGTTTTACAGAATGTTCACAGGGCACATAGGGAGATCAGGTGGTATGGAAAGTTGGAGACCTAAGCTCAAGTGTCAGAGATAAATAACCCTAAAGAGTCTGCATGAGAATTTGACCCAGAAAGAGAAAGTTTCCTGGTAACCAGACAACACATCGAAGAAGTAGAAGTAGCTTTGGCAAAAACTGAGTACAGAAATCCGTCATAGTATTTTGCAGTTTATAGGTTGAAGGTTCGTCTCAAGTTCACAGTCACTATTCAGTTGAAAGCTGAACGGTTGGGGACGGGGGTTAAAGCTCAGCACACAGATATCCTTTCTTTTCCAAGAGAGTGGGGCATAGGACTTTCAGCATAAATTCCACATGTAAGTCCTCCTTAAATTCCACAGTGTATTCCTGAAGGAGCTCTGTTAAATTGCCTTTTGTGCTAGTTTTAAATACTATTAAAATTGAGGATTTCCTAAACCCTCTTTGTGAGCGTTGGTTAACTGCTAGGGTTTCCTCAGTTTCTGAGACTAGGGTGGATTGACTCTTGATTGTAAAAAGACACCCAAGATGGGGTATCTGTATCTGGGGACTCTGTATTTAAACAAACTGTAGTCTTTGGAAGTGGTAGCTGCTTATTGTTGTTAAAGGGCTGCTACAGGGCTTGCAAATGAGGTGTTCTGGTTAACCTTATAACATGTATTTTCAGGACTGTCTCGTACTTCTGGCTCCCACTTTGGTCATATTAGTGCTTCAGGAGCCTGTCACTGCTGTTTGCAAGAAATACTCAGAAATCTAGACCGTGAGGAGGTAGGTTAGAGCAAATTAATTTAGGTGAGATATACAAAGCTTTTGACCTAAGAGTTTATGGAAAAAAACCCTCAGGACTTCCTGTAGTGTTGTCCTGACCTTACATTCTTCTTGAAGGTACCCCAAGACCCTTTCACAAGATTAAAAGTAGGACTTTGAGTGCCCTTTTTATACTAGAAATAGCTTCCATTCCCAACATGCTTGTTCTAGTTATAGACAAGTATTTTTAGTTTTATAAATTTCTTGCTTTACACATTTTTCCATCATAATACATTCATTTATTAAATTACCTGTTATTGAGAACCTGGAAAAAATAACGTGTATCTGAAGGCACTCAGCAGTTTTTTTGATAAAAATAATTAAGAGAATTGTAAATCAAGATGGTCTATCTAGTAGAGTCATAGAAGTTCTGTGTGAGAATGCACCATATAGAATTAAGTGATCCTATCATTTTCCAGAGAAGGAAGGAAACTTGTAGGTTAAAGGAGCTTGACACACATGCAGCTAGTTAGTAATAGAACAGTAATAAAATTCATGGGTGGACTAGTTCCTTTATCTTTCCATCCATGTTCAACTTCTTTCCCTTTTCTCATAATTGAGCATCTTTTGGCGAAATGTGTTTCAGACACCAATGATTCTAAGAGATGTTAATAGATATAAGAGAAAAAATGTGTGTGTGTAGCCCATTGAAGAATGGTGAATTGGTTTCTTTTCCTTGAGACTTCTGAGAGTTTTTAACATACTATGGTATTATAAATCGATAAGAAGGGACAAAGACTGTTTTGCTTTAGATTGTGCCCCCTTTCTTTTTTCTGAGCATTTCCAGGGACCATGTCCTTTGGGAAAGATGGCTCTTGTCAAGTTTACAACTCTTTTAGGAGAGGCATCCCAGTGGAATCACTGAATGGTGAATCTGTTTCTCTGATAGCATGCAACGTGTAATAAATCTCAGTTTAGTGTGATACTAGCAAGGAAGCATATTTACCATTCAGAGCTATACTTAAAAGTATAGAGGTCTTTTCTACCTGTGGTGTGTACAATCACTATTTGTGTTTAATTTGCAAATTTTTCAAGGATCAATGAATGAATTAATTGTACATACAGTGGTGATGTATTGATATAACATTTTAATAATGCTTTTGTATGGCTCTTTATCATTTTCAGATGCCTTTGGGAACAACCATGTGAGCCTAGGCAGTATTATAAGTAATTGCACAGATAAGGCACTGGAGGCTCTAAAAGGGTTTTCCTCCTTTTTTTTTATGGTTTTTGTTTTTTCCTCTCCAAATTTAGATCACAAAAAGATGGAGCCAGGGTTTGGTTGCAGAATTTTGATTCCAAGTCCAGAGTTCTTTACTGCATACCTGGTCTCTTACTGTTCTTCTAGATTTATAATGTACAATGAGCCAGGTATGATGGCACATGCCTGTAATCCTGGCACTCCGGAGGCTGAGGCAGGAGGATCATCACAAGTTTGAGGCCACCCTGGGCGACAAAGTGAGTTCAAGGCCAGCCTGAACTACAAAGTGAGACCCTGTCTCAAAAAAAAAAAAAAAAAAAAATTACACTGACAGGTATGGAAGCAACATCCTTTTGGGTTATCATGAAATACCAATTCTTTTGTATTATAGTGACCTAAAAGTATTACTTTTACTGTAACTGCCAGAGAAAACCCTTCTTTGTCCTTGCAGTGCCCCTTAAGTGACTGGTGTGTATTTCAAATATCATTTAATTGTGAAGCTAATATTGGACAGTGGTTGTAATTACTTATGTAACTTTGAAAATGTGTAATCTCTGTGTTCTCAGGCAAAGGAAAGATGCTTTGAGAGTAAGAAAGAATATTCAAATAGGACATATTTATTACACAAATACCATTTCTTACCTTCAACTTGCTTTGGCAACCTACTGATGTAACTTCTTTGAAAAGTGTAAAATATTTATATTTTGAAATAAAATTACTAGTGTTGAATGAATCAGTAATTTAAGTCTCTTGTCTCTTTGTCTCTTGAGAAGTTTTATCTTTAGCCAAGCTTTCATGAATGCATCTGTCTCTCAGGCCTTATATACTACCTTTTCCTTTGGCACCAGTGCCTACCATAAATTAGGAAATTTAGTCAAAAGTGAGGACGGTTTGTCTTTGAGTGGATCCTGGGTACCATAAAGAGGCTAAGGATCTAGAGCAGAGGCTGGAGCCCTGGACCCAGCCCTGTGCACTGGGGAAGGCGGCCTGAGTGATAACGGGTGAGAGGGCTGGCTGAGCCGTGAGATTTGGAAGTTAGTTCAGAGCTGGGTGTGGTAGTGCATGTCTGTAATCTCAGGTACTCTGCAGACAGATCCAGGAGGATTGCAAGTTCAAGCCCAGTCTGGGCAGCTTAGTAAGAACCGGTCTTCAAAAGGGGTGGAGATACCGAGTTCAATGAGAAGTTACCTAGCTTGCGCAAGACTCGAGTTCAATCTCCAGTAAGCCCCCACCGCCCATGCTGAGTAGAAGAACGGTAGTTTCTGAATGAAGAAAACAGATCTACCCTTGGGTATCAGTACCAAAGATGTCTATGCAGCTCTGGGAGACAGAGCCTAACTGGCACGTGGGAGCACTGCAAAGGACATTTCAACAGTGCTTGGGAAAGAGCTCCCGAAGTTAATGGTACCCTCCGGCTCCTCAGTCTGGCAAGATGGATGGAGAATGATCCTGGCTGAGGTGTAAGAGTGGGCTAGCCAGCCTCATAAATTCTCACTGGCACCCAGCTACCATTCCTCATGACACATTTCTGCACGCTTCTCAGTGGATTGCTTAAGCCAAAAGTAACTCCACGGGGTGCTTGTTCTGACATCCTCCTTACCTCTGCTACTGGAGACCTGAGGGAGAGGCGTGCACTTCACTCCTGTCCCAGCGCTCTGCGCAAGCTCACTGTTGGCCTTAAAGAAATGATTTTTAGCCTTACCCCTGAGTGACTTCAGTGAGAAACACATGCTGATGTTCTTTCCTTTCAGTGAACAGTTACTAAGAAGTCGCTCTGCGCCTGGCACTAGAGAAAAAGCAATTTTGAGAAGTAATAGTGTTGAGGCTGGAGATGTACCTCAGCAGTAGAGCACATGCCTAACAACATTAAAAAAAAAACAAAAAACTTTTTTCATGTTTTATTCTTTTTTTGAAGAATAACTC